CCCCCTGGCGCGGTCTCTTCACGGCGGCGGCGGCGGCTCCATTTTCTCCTGCTCCTCCGGCCTCCGCCGCGCCCGCGCCTCCGCCTTTTTCCCTCCTTCCCTTCCTCCCCGCGCCGCCATGAACGAGGAATACGACGTCATCGTGCTGGGCACCGGCCTCACGGTGGGTGCCGGCCCCCCCTCCCCCCGCCTCACGGGGGTCAGGGTGGGGGAGGGGCGGGGGGTCCGTTTCAGCTCTTTTGTCCCCCCTGTGGGGGTGGGGGAGGGGCGAACCCCCGGCCCTTTGGGGAGGAGGGGGTGCTGGGGACTCCCTAGCGTGCCCATAGCATCGCGGGTCGCGGACGCTTTAAAGCCCTGGCTGGGAGGATCCGGCTGGGCTTTATCCCGCTTGGATGCGACCCCCGCCCTCGCCCTCGCCCTCGACCTCGCCCTCTTTGGACCCTGATTTTGGAGGACAGGACGTATCGTGCCCCCCCCTTCCTGTCTCTAGTTGGAGGTATTTTTTGGGGTGCCTGCCCCCCGGTTTGTCCGGTTTGGGGTGGGGGGAGCGCCGGGCATTGTTCTCCTGCGGGAGCGGAGGGGCCCGAAGCGCTCAACATGGCTGGGAACGGCGGCTTCTTCCTCGAGGGTTTCGGCCGCCTCTTTCCTGCTTTTGTTTCCCCGCCACCGGTTGGGGGACAAAGGAAGATCTGCATTTTTTGGAGGTGGGGGCCGTGCCGCTCCCCTGCGCCGCGGTCGCGTCTCTGCGTGTCCTGCTCCGGCCCTCGCGCTGCTGCTGCTGCTGCTGCGGTTGGGGCTCGCTGGCGGCGATGCTGGCGGGCGCCTTGTGCGTGTGTGTTGATAAATATCCACCATCTGCCATTTGAGCCGTCCTGGTTTTGAGCGAGGAGCGAGCTTTTCTCTCGCTCCCCCCCTGCTGGCGCAGGGTCCTCGTTATATCATCCGCTTCCTGGTCTGGCCGCAGGGGTGCGAGGGGCTTCGCCTGTGAGACCCTTCCCTGCCCTGACATGAACGATCTCAATTTTTTTTTATTCCCC